AAGCAACTGAACAAATAAACAACAACAACACATCTATGAAAATGTGCATGGGATTGTATTGCAGGAGTTTCAGTAGAAAAGGGGTTTGGTTTTGTAGAACTGTTCTTTATTGGTAAGGGTGGCAATGACTGCAAGGGGGAAAATATCTTTCAGGACAGAGTGTCATAGCATTTCACAGATTCTTAGTGCGGTGAGTAAAGACAGTAAAGACAGTGAGTAAAAGCCTTTTTAAAATGATAGTTCCTGAGCTGCTTTGTTTAAAGTAGGTCATTCCATTCCTCTTACATACTTTGATATAAGTCCAGAACCTGAAAAATGTATCCTGAGGTTTGGCAGAAGCAACGATTTTCTGTAGGGGCTTCTCTTCCCATCTCAGCTCAGGTAAAATATCTGTCAAAGGATTTCTTTGCCATGTTTAGAATGCTTTGTTCTTGTGTATGAATAATGTTAAGTGTATACGCACTCCCATATATGTTATTAGAAGGAAAAAATGCTAAATGTTTTTCATCCTTCTGCAAACTTTGACGCTTTCCAAGATTCCCTTCCTGTATGAATGGTGCCATTTTGGCAACATAAGCACTGGCACTCATGCCTGAATGTCATAGAAACAATATGTTTAATTACCTAGTTTTCTTTTTAAGGTTTAAATAAGTAAGGCTGGTCCAACTGATTGATACAGCAGATGCTGAAATTGGTCTCACAGGCATTGAATAGAGGGACTCTAAGACTAGTGACCTGTTAAAATCCCATTTTAACCTTTCTTGATAGCATGTGATAATTCAGTGAGCTAAATTTCCATTTGCTTCCAGTCAATCAGACTTGTATGCCTGCTATAGTCAGGGGATGGCATTGGTTTTTCCGTGAGGGGAAATGAGAATTTGATGAAGCTGAATTTCTTGATGTTCCTGAGCCAAGGGCTATGGTGTTTGTGGTTACTGTGACCGCTGGCTGTACTGAAAGCATTTGGTATGTGGGGAGGAAATGCACGAGGGAGGGGCTACTTTTTGCTTTTTGGTCCAGTGACAAAACAAGCTTTTGTAGCTGGCCTTTTAAACTCACAATTTAAGATGTTTCTCTCTGGATATTAGCTGTAATCTAAGCAACATAAATCAACACATTGGGATTAAAAAGAAGAATGAAAATGGGTTGACATATTCCAGCAAAACCTTGTCGTTCTTTCCATCTTAGATCAAATTATACATTTATATACAGACGTCCTCAACTTATTCGACAAATTAACCTTGTCAAATCAGAAAATCATTGAAATATGGAACCGTATGTTGTATTTTAATCTGATCTTATTTTCTATTTGGTTAAATTGATTAAATTTTAAATTAGTTTATTTAATTTGGTTTTATTATATGACAAAGCAGCAGAGCAAATATATGGATTCAGGATATAATTTAAAATGGTTAAAAAAGCAAGTAATATAAAAAAGGGTGGTTGAAAAGCAAGTAATCCCTGTATATCAAGTGGAGGATAAAACCATCTGAAAATCATTACATTACTCTTCCTTTCCTGTCTATAGTCAACTTGGACTGCCATTCATAGCTACACATAATTCTATTCTTTTTTTCTAAGCAAAACTTTAAATACCATCCTGGTATGGTATATGCAGAAAGATTGTGAATCACATTGCATAATGAATCACAGCAGGACTTCAACTCTTCTAGTCTAAACTAGATTAGAGATACAGAATAGGGCTGTGCAAAACTTGGTTTGTAATTCTTTTGTCGTATGTGTTTTGTAAGATTCGTACATAAGAGGTGATATTAAGAAATATGAGGGGTGGCGGCCACACAAAAAACTTAGGAATCAATACACTCACCTATAACTTTTCGTTACATTTCAATAAACCTCGTAAATTTCCCAGTTAGTATGAAGCCAAAGAGGCCATTCCTCTTCAAATTAAGGTTGCCTGTCACCATTAGGAGGGCAAGCTAGCTGGGAAAGAGACTGAGAATTCTGGGAAATGTAGTTTGGGATGGCGAGGACCCCTCTGACAGAGAATTCAAGTCTCATGCCTATAGCTCTAACAATGAGGAGAAAAGGAGCCCCTTTAGCACAATTACTTAAAGGGAAAAAAAAGTCATAGTTACATTCAAAGCACAAACCTCATATTTCCCCTATTTTAGGGGGTGCTCTTTTTGCTCTTTGTCCCATAAAAAGTATGTGGTAAAGCTTTTGGTTCTTCCCTTCAATCTGTTGTGCCTCCATCTCTTTAAAGTGAAATCAATCAAGTTATTAGCTTGACTTTTGTACATATTTCACACAGAGAAGTAAGGTAATATCATTAGTAGGAAATTAAGTACTATGGTCCAGTGTTTGGTAGTCAAACTTTTCCCATTGGTAATCATGGTTGTTTGTTTGGGTTTTTTTATAAAAAAAAAAAAGAAAATTAAAAATGGAGAGCACGACAAGATTTCATGGGTAGACAGAAGTATTTGGAGTATTGCTTCTTCATATGTATATCGCACATGTGGGATTTTTGAGGAAACTTTTTGTGTGGTGTGAACTGTGGGTTAGAGGTCAACGACAAAGCCAAGACTGGATCAATACATGTCTTGCCTTAGGCAGAACAGCAAATGGCACCCTCCATCCACCAGATAATTTGCTTTCCCACATGGAAAGACAGCTCACAAGTACCCCCACCCTACCTGCAAATGAATATACAGTAATAATAAACTGTGTAGTTTAAAGAATCCAATCTCCCTTCAGTGCCCTCTGTGCCTGAAATACCTGTTTCATTCTACCGAGTAGTAGGGCCAGCTGGAGATCTGGCAAAGCTTGAGGACCATCACTTGTGGGAGAGGATCCCAGTCATTGCTATTCCTCATTCACTACTAATCTGTCATAGGTCATTAATGACTCAGTCTGTTCATCAAAGTAAAAGTTTAGATAACTGGGCTTAGATTACCTGGCATTGGTCAAAATTTAATTGTGAAACAGGACTGTGTGTGTTGAGCATGGGCTTTTCTTCTTTGGCAATCAGGCTTTCCTACAACTCCAAGTAGCTGCAAAAGAAGGAAGCCTGGGTTGTTGCCAGGAAGTAGCCAAGCAATACTTCTCTCATATCTGTTTCTTACGTATTCCAAAGACAAGCACTTCTTGTAGTTTTAATGAAAGGCGATAGGATAATTCCAGACTAAGATATGGAGCACAAGGCTTTTTGGTAATTCTGTAATCTTCCAAATGAGATGCAAATTACTGACAGGATGTCATTATGTTGCTGACGGCATGACATTACCATATACAAATTAGCTATGGGCCTCTGTCTCACAATGAATGGCAAATCACAATGGTGAACAAACTACACTGTTTGCTTTTCAGCTTAGCCATAAAAAGCATGGATGTCAGTACAGGCTGCACTTTGAGAGCAGACATTTCTCTACTCCTCTGCCCACACTAAGAACAACCTATGCCCCTCTGGAGATCGCCACAATATTCTAGCATTGCTTTATACTCCTTCTGGTGCAGAGATTATTTAAATAAGACCTTTATCTCTCTGCACTTAAAACAAAAACAAATGGGCACAGGTGCATCCCTTCACGATAGAGCTGGTAATTGACTTTCAGTGGTATTGCTTACTGGGCCTCTTGTAGGAGGATAACCCAGAGGGGCGATTTAAAACATAAACAAAGAGCTGAGGCAAAATCTGCTTTGAAGAGATAAACCTCTGGCTCCTTGTCTGTTCGCCAGAGTGCTTTAATTGGCAGAAATGTGGTCCAGCAGGATTCAAGAAAGAAAACATAATGCATTGTTACAAATGGAAAGAAACTTGCTTGACCGTATTTAGAAATTCTGTTCTTATCAGCTGGTAACAAAGAAAACTTGGTGTCGGCATGATTTCCATGACCTCTTAGCCAACCAATTAGCCTTACAATGCTCTACTCTGTATCCCCCTGGTAACATTATGGATTCTAAGACAAGTATTTGTTGATCATTAGACCTAGACATCCATCTCTAATAATTCTGTTGCTCTCATTTACTAGGTTCCTTGGATTATATGGTGACAAAGTCTGTCCCTAAGGCCATAACCAACCCCCATAACATGTTTTTGTCACCCTCAAACTGCTGCAGTCCCCAGGCTGCCCTTTTTCTACCCCAAAGAATAGGCAAATTGCTATTCATGGAACCCCCTGTGTGCAGTAATTTACCTTTTAAATAGGATGCGAGGCCTCCCTATATTAACATAAAATTCCCATTTTTGAGAACCAGCAGTAGTCTGCTTTGTAGGAGCTGTTGACGAGAATCTTGGAAGGTCCCAGGATTAAAAATTGTCCAGGACCTGCTGCAGTTGCCCAGCCCTGTACTATATGGTATGGTGATAGTAACAGTTCAGCAAGGGAGTGGAACTATGGTCTTGAATCTTATTGGTTAGGAGAACAAGAGAAACAGCCAGAAACACTGTTTGCAGTGGATATGAGATAGAAAAACAGACAGAACAAAAGGAAAAGTTTTGAGTTAGCTTCAAATTCTAGAGATTGAGATTTTTAACTGAACAATTCCCCTCATTAGGTCAGGGATTATGAAAGTTGGAAACTGACTTCTGAAGGTTTCCCACCCCTGTCTTAAACTCAAGGAGCATAAGATACAATATTAGATTAGGTTCTCTTCGGTCCCATTCCATAGGGTCTTTTCTGAAAGTCAGTCACGTCCCAAAGTCTTTTCCATCACAGGTCTCCTGTTTCTTTTAACTTCATACCGTCTGCCTGTGAAGTTTGCTCTGAATTTGTGATCCCTCTTTTAAGGGGGAATTGGGGACACAATCAGAAATCTGAAGCGTGGGTTTGAAAATGTGCTGCCTCTCATAAATGAATAATCAGCCTGTTTACATCTTCAGTGTGCTTGTTACATGTTCAGCGTGCTTACATCTAAAGGCAGTTAAGTTTTGTTGTGCTCTCTGTAGAATGTGTCACTGGGTGTTTAAGGAAGTAAGGAATCCAAATAATAAACTAAAAGTATCCTTCTCTGATGCATTATCTTTCTCTCATTTGTAGCAGATGAACAGTTCTTTAAATATAGCCCTGGAAAACTGAGGGGAAGCCAGTATAAAGCTATGATGACCAAAGAAGAACTTGAAGATGAACAAAGGTAGGTTGGGCTTCTGTTAAGTTCAGCACAGTGCCTAGTGATTCTAACCCAGCTTCTACTAGCCACACCATGTAGCCAGAAATTAGTTGATTCTTGAAATATTTATATGTATGTTTGTACTAACTATTTATCTGGTAATGAAAGAGCAATGTAGTTCTCCGTGATATCCCTAACATAACAGACTGGATCATTTGGCTAAGAACAGCCCTAGGCTTTCATTTCAAGTCAAAGAACATTACACTTTTCTCAAAATAACAAGTACTTTACTGTCTGTGTTGCCATCAGTGGCTATCAGACAGATTACAATGTATTGGGTACCTGACAGTCCTAGGTTTCCCTGTCTTGATCATGCTGTGACCTTCTGGTGCAATGAATCCTTTCATTATTAAAGGAGTACATGACTAGTGTGAACTTCCTTCTTTTAATTCCTTATTACTCAGAATAGCCCATGGGAATGATAATACAACATGGAATAGCATTGTTCCAATTGCAGTTTATTGCAGCTTAGCTGACACATGAAGTGGTTGTGAAGTAATTTTTTAGGAAGAAAAGTGAGAACTGTGGCATCCCAGATATTTTGGTCTATAGACCCCATCAGCATCATCAGTATTAAGGGATTACGAACGCTGTAGAGCAAACACCCGGAGTGCCACATTTCCTAACCCTTGCATTAAAGACCAAACCTATGCTGCCTTGGATCTGTCATGATAAGCTCTTGCCTGAAAAATAGGGAAAATTTCCCCAGCCCTCAGAGATTAAAATGCGCCCTGACACTCCCCACTTCCCTCTTTTTCCCCCTGGAAACTGCTAGCATGAAGAAAACCATTGAACCACGCCCAATTAGTGCCATGGGACCAGACTATGTAGTGCTGCTTTTAAAGTGTGGTTTGTTTTTATTTACTATGATGATTTGAAAAATAATTCATTGTGTTACTTGTTGCTTTTGAAAAGCAAGTAAATTCCCCTAACACCTCTAAAAATTCCTGAAAATGTATTTTGAAGGATTTTTAAAAAAAACTAGGAAACATTGCTTCTTGCACCTATACTAAGAACTAGACTACTTCTAACTAATTCTTCCAAGTCCCAATGGGTAGAAGACAGCTCAGCTGTACACAAACAGTTTCATGGTTAGCATCATTTTTGTGACAAAGTGTTCTTAGTTGCAATCAATCAACCAATGAGTTGTTTCCAAATGAAAATAATTAGAAAAGCAGTTGAATATCATCTCATTTCTTGCTAATGGCTTGGTGGTTCTGTCTCGTTACACTTCATGATGTGGTCAACAAAGTCTGCTTTGTCTTTTCTCTCTGTTGTTTTGTATGATCTGCTTGGTCTCTGAGCTATATACAAATTTGCTTCTTAAAGAGACTTGAGGTCAGATTCATCTGAAGCTACATACTTGCACAATCACTTCATCCCTACTTCCTTAAATCCCAAGGCTGGCTTCAAAAGCACAAGCATTTTTTAAAAATAATAATACTGGGGCATGTGCACTTTTCTTCCAATAACAACAAAGGCTGTAAAGGAGACTGTAATGTAAAGTAATAGAAATGTTTACAGTTTGTTCCACCAAAGCTCTACACATAATTCTGCTGTAGTTTTCAAGGTGCGTGCCGCGGGGGGGGGGGGGGGGGGGGGGGGAGGACACGACAACCCACACAGCCATTGCCATTTGGGTCTAAAATTAGTATAGACCTAGAACTGAAACATGTTCCTAAAGCTGTTAGTTGGTTAAGTGTTCCGAACTAGCTATGATTTCTGCCAGCATAATTCCAGTAAGAAAAATTAATATATTAGTTTTGAATTGATCATGAATTTATTTGGAATTAATTCATAAGCAAATAATTGCATTTAGGCTGATCTAACCAGCTGAATTGAGTGGGTCCGAACTGCACCAAAGAACTTGGTATAAATATTGAGTGCAGCTGTGGTTTGCAGCCATGTGTCAGATCCAAATGGTGATAGTACCCTCATGCAATAGAGCACAGAGTTTATTGTGTTGAATAGCTATATGGTAGATTTAATTTTAGGCACTTCCACTTTTCTTATCCATCCAGTGCCGTGACATAACAAGCTGAATATTCCAGAATACTGTATTTCACTGCTTAATGTTCACACACATTACTTTTCCCCCATATGAAAAAGAGGTGTGAAACTTTTATGTGGTGAAGTTTTGGAGGCCTACAGGGCATCCCCTGAATAAGTCTATTTTCTAGAGCAGTGCTTCATAAACTTTTGCCCTCAGTACCCCTTTTGGCCTTACAAATTTTTACCTAACCCGGGCATATAAGTATATAAAATAGATACAAAATCAGACATTTACTGATAAGAAAGTAGCATTTGCTAGGTTAGCTAAACACTTATTTTCCTCTTTCTTTGGAAGTACAGCTGAATCCTCTTCCACAGAGTCCGTAGTGCGGCCACTAGGTTCAGAAACCTTTCACTGCTGTCAAAATTTTCAGGACCCCACACTGAGCTAAGGAATCCCCATTTAGGGTCAGGACCCACAATTTAAGAAGATCTGCTCTAGAAAATATATTGATCCTGTCACCAATAGTTGGCCCAGGTGATGCCAATGAGCAAATAAAATAGGGAAATAGCCAAAGAAATATCTAAATATGAACAAGCTGGTAATCACCTGATGTCTCGTGACATTATTTACCAGGTAAGTAATCATGTTGAAAAGCCAAATGCACAGTACAAATGAAATTGTGTATTTATTTTAAAAATGTGTATGTATATGTGTTTTTATTTATACATACTTTTTTCTCTAAGTTTCATTTAGTAGGGAGATATGGAGTTCATTACCTCTTTCATTTATACCTTAGAACCATATAACTAGGAAAGGTCTAGTGGTCCTCTTGTCTGCCCATTTGCTTAACCTCACTCAACTTTCCTTAGTACATGAGTCAATTCATGGGTTGGGTGAAATGCCTTCAGCTTGGTTTGTTACCATGGTGTTTCTTCTGAAGGGAGAATGTTATGTTCATGCTGAAAACAAAACAAATGATTAAAAATACATAATAAACGCACAAACTCTGTTTGTTTGCCAAACTAATCTGATTTAAACTTCGTTATAAGGTTATCATATACCGCAAGCCTAATTTTTTTCTTACTAGTAGAGCTGCTTGAGGTACCACTTTATTTATCAGAAATAATGTTGGTCACAGTGCTCAGTGCAGTTTTTGTTTTTGTTTTATATTCACAATATGAAATAAAGTGTGAAAATTATTTGGTCTTTTATCTTCATGTACATCAATAATGCAGAAAAGGTAGAGTTGGATACTTCAAGGGAATCAGTTTTTCCTCACTTATCAAAATAGAATTTGTTTTCCTTTCTTCATCAGTTATTTTTCAAATGCCAGTGAAGATTTGACATACTGAACATTTTCTATCCTTACCAGCATGTTAGCTAGGTTTTTTCTTGCTGAGCCAGCAGGCAAAAGAGGGTCTTTAGGGACCTATCCGAGTGCTGTATTTTTGTTCCACTGATGACTGGTGTGAAATCTTGTTTCACCCTTTCCTGCTGGACACCCCTCACTACTCTGTTTATTAGAGAGTGTGGGCATGTCTCTGCTTGCATTACTGCATAGTTCTTGTGTGAGAAAGGTCCATATTTGAGTGTCCTCTAAAACAGAACAAAAAGGATAGGAGAGCTGAGATAGCTGATAGAAAAAGCCATGAACACCATGAGCAATGAAGAGTCCTATGGGAACTTAAAGAATGAGAAATGTACTATGACATGGATTTTCATAAATGGTACACCACCTCTCTAGACGTATGAAGTGTCACCCAGGATATTTAAGTTTATAATTTCTGTCTGATCTTACTGATTACAGCCATACTGCATCTATACCTGAAATCAAAACACTATCTCATTCATCTGATGAAATGCACTTTAGTCTAGAAAAAAATATAATGTGCTATACATTTCTTGCTTCTTAGATGCTATGAGAATTTTAGGGTCTTTTTACTGCAACAGATGAACAACACTCAACATGCAGACTTATAGCTATATATGATGTGCCAGCTATGTATGGCAGCTTACCATGTGATAACTTCTGAAACTATCCAACCAGGAAATAAACTGCGACCTATTTAGTGACTGATATATTGCACACTCTGCATAGTGAACAGGCCCACTTTAATATATTAATTGTCTGGAGCAAGAATGTTGAACTTTTTGTCTTTCAGATGTTAAAGAATTGAGTCTCCTATTTGGAACAATTAGCTAAGGCTGACTGAGGCTGTAAGCACCTGGAGTCTTAACTATATCTGGAGATACTTGGGTTCTACAGTCCTGCAGTAGATTTGTGAGAGATTTTCTAGCTTCCATTAAGGAACTGTTACATGGTGAATATGACACTTCCTCAGATCTTTTATCCAATAGGAAAAAAAGTTCTACATGACAGTTTTTTCGTAAGAGACAAATCTAGATGCTGTGCCACGGCTTCCTCCCTTGGATTGCAGTGGTACCACTTGCAATGGCAGTTTGTTTTCTGGTTGACAGTGTTTCTTGTGCTATATGTATATACATATATCACCTTCCACAATTTACGTGGAATACTGACTGCTTGCTGTCTCTGTCTGTTCAGAGTCCTTTGCATTTGCCAAACTCCCTCCAACCTCCTGCACTAATTGGCTTTGGCAGATTGTTGCATTTCTTCTAACGGATTCTCAGTTTCTTGTCAATGTGCCATATTTTCTCTGTTTCTCTGTGTCTGTTCATTTGTTTGTTTTTCCAAGCTCTAGTTTTGTTTTGTTTCCTGTCCCTGCCCCCTTACCTCTGAGAGCTGGTTGTGGCATCAGCAATTTTTCATTTCAGGCTTCTCCAAATCATCCTTCCTTCTAGCTGGTTTGTTGGGCAGGGCTGCCCACAGGTAAGGAGCTACACTGGATCAGCCGAGGGGAGCCATGCCATCCATTACCCAGTCCTTTGGATTCCCCGTTCTTCGTGTGCGTGCACATGCACACTTGCTTCTTTTCCCTCCCTCTCCCCCCCCCCCTCCTTCCCCGGCCAGGCAGTGCCTGGCAATGCTGCCATTTTGATGTGACCAAGGTTTGCTGCATTTATATTACAGGATTGAGCTGACCTCTGACCTCACATCCCTGTAGCAAGTACCTTAGGTCCTCGGCCACAAACATTCTTACAAATCCTTTTGGTAAGGAGATGATGCATCATAGAAGTAGTGATACCACCTATAACCTCTGCTAATGTGATTTGAAACTAAAGTTGACTATGTTTCCTTACCCCCCAACCCGCACCTTCCCGTCTCCCTCTTCATAACTAATTAGTCTTCCTCCCCTCTGTGCCCCATTTCATTTCCCATGAGCACCAAAAGTGAAATCAATATTTTAAAAAACACACAGGTTATACCACTTTCCCTGGTATTCTGAAATTGCCCTTACTACTAGACAACAAGAACTAAACAATTCCAGAGCAAGATTCAAGAATTCAGCACCTCAACTCTAAGGATTTAGGTATGGAAATAATATTGTGAAATCCCCCCCCCCCCAAATGTTGAGAAACCGTAAAATTATAGATTGACATTAATCTTGGCAATTTGGAGCATATGTTGCACAAAATTTGCACATGGTTTTTGTGTGTGCAGAAAACTTCATTTTCTAAGTACGAAACCACATTTTTGTGCAGAAAATGCTGTTTCTCTGAAACAACAACCATGTTCAGATTTTGCATAGATTAAATCCTGAATTGCAAATAGACTGTAGTTTTCAGAGTTTCCCACAGTAGGAAAAAAATTGCTAAAATCTCTCATTACTTCCTTCAAGAAGAAAATTAGTGGATAACTATATCCCTATTAGGATCCTTACATCAGATTTCTGAGTGCACATTCTTGGAACTACAGTACTAAACTTGCCTCCTAAATCTGAACACTAAGCCTCTAGTCCAGTTGCTAATTTGTGTGGGTGTTGGACAGCCCTTCTTTCCATTCTGTGTTAGAGTTGAGTTTCCGACTGTAATTGTTGCAGCTTCTTATGCCTAGAGCCAAGTTCCACCAAAAATTAATGGATTTCTGCAGAAGAGAATTGTTACTACATAATGGGAATAATAAGTTTGCTACAATATACTGTCTAAGTATGAGAGAATGTCACTTAGTGACCTGACAGTTGTACTAAGAAATGACACTTCTGTTTGAAAAGTCTGTTCTTATTTCCTAATTCAAATTAACACATGCATAAGACTTCCCAACAAATTATTGGAGTTTTAATAATTTGTCTCGATTACACCCCAAAATCTTCAATATTAAAAACATATCTTCATTACAGGATATTCTAACCACTCTGTCTGCTAAGAGCCTACTCACTGTTTTTTTTTAATTATATGAAGCATACATTTTGTCTTAAGCAGATACCATGGAATTATAAGGCACTTAGCTAATCCTATAGACATTGAATAGTGGGAACATTATTTAAACTTGCTCAAGAGTTTCAGAGAATTTAATACATGAGGAAAGAAAGATAGATCAAGGTATTTGTTATTTAGCATTTAAGTAGCACTATGAGTATCATGCGACATATATTACTTTATTCATCCTTTGAATAATCAAGAAAGGTAGACTAGTGCTATTCTTCGCAGACTGAGGCAGGAAATAAGAAAATTCCTTGCCCAGATCCGTCTACTGGTCTCATAGCTGAGGTTTGAACCTTTGACTTCTTTATCATAGGTGCAGTCTTTTAACGCTAAAGCTACTACAGTTCTCATATTCTGCCTTTGGTTGGCAGCTGACCATAAAATGGATAACAACGCAAGCTGGCTTCTCTCTTTCTAGTATAGGTTTGACATTGGAACATGAAGCTTTTCAAATGAGGACCTAATGTTTATCAATGAGTAATTGCTACAGATCAAAGTGCTCTTCACGGTTACCTGAATCACTTCAAAATCTAAAAAGGTAATTATGGCTGTCAAAGAGGTAATTCATATGATGGCCTGGAAACTCAGTTGACTAGTCCCCAAGGGGATTAGTGGGCGCCGGATAAATGTAATTTTAGCTGGCTTGAGAGTTACTATTAAAATAGCCCTAACTCGTACTAGACTTCATCCCATAGTATATCATAAACCCTGTATTCACTTTATATTAATATTGAAATAAAGTAATTAAAAACAAAACAAACAAACATAATGTAACACCATTTTATTATATGTAAAGCTGCATTCACAGCTTTGTGAATGCAGCATGCAATTTTAGTTAAATGGCAGTCATTAACTTTACAGTTTAATGAATTTCACTAACATAATTTTAACTCTTAGTAACTTAGAAAAAACACAAACATACACACTTAAACATATGATTTTATTTAATTTTTTTTATTTAAAATATTATTTTGTTTCTTTGACTTTTGGCTTGAGTTCAAGCTAATTTAGAGTCTACTGTAATAGTTTTCTTATTAAGGATGATTTAACCATCAGAAGAAGAAAAAGGCATTATTAAAAGACACTCAGCAGAACTACTCCAAGCCAGAGGACAAGGAAATAGACAAGAACAGCAAAGCCGGAAAGTGGCTGAAGACCATGGCTTATGATTATGCTAAGGGCGAGCAAGCTAGGGGATCAATTCAGGATTAAAGCTCACCAGATTACAGCACAACAGACAAACAGGGAGAGGGGGAAGGGAGAAGACAGCTCCTGCTGGAGAAGAGGAAAGCAATAGGGGACATTGAACAAGCTACAAGGCAGGATTGAGGCTCAAGAAAAGCAGAAAAATCTAGTTCTGAACTCAGTGAAAAGAGTAAAGAAATAATACACAGCAATAATTTAATTACCGTGTCTAGAAGTCAACACTGTAGGCTCTGTATTGTCAGTTTCTTGAAGCTTTTGCTTTCATAGCCTAGTTCTATTTCATAATCTTGCTTTGTAATGGGGAATTGGTATAATTGACCAGCACCCTTTCCCGGGATAGTTTGAGTTATGGAGGGAATTTTAACTCCCAGAATGTCTCCAGTAAGCATGAACAGTAGATAGCTTACTCACGAGGATTTTCTAGAAGAAGACTTAGTCCCCAAAAGTAATTTTTCTGATCAGCGGTTCCAGAATTTTTCTTTGAAGGAGTTGGGAAAAATCCTTTCCCTCCCTCACCCGCCTCCTCCCTTCCCACTGCTTCATTGCCCTTCCCATTGGCCTTCTGAAAACACTGCCCGAAAGAACATCCAGCAGACTTCAGTGGCAATTGTATTGTGTTTTTTTAAATAAAACACTTACTTCTTCTCCACCAGTCTTTACCTGCCATTCAGAAGTTTAAAGCTTATATTGTAGAACCTGAATACATAAGGCACATTCAGTAGATGATCTGTACATTTTCCAATATATTTCTAGTTCCGCTCATGCTGTCATTTGATCCTGAAGATTGGAAGTTAGAATTCAAAGGAGAATTTGATTCTGGATGAGCTCCTCTCAGTTTGTCTAGTTCTTAAAAGGCATTCTTGCTTAAGACAACATACATTCCTGGGGTTGAAGCGCCCTCTGTTGGTTGTAGCAACTCTTTCTGATTTGAAATTTGGTAAATCACAGCTGCAAAATCCCTTTGCCTTGGTTGAATAAACAAATTTAAATTTGCTATGGAACCAGTGTCATATCTGGAGAACTCCTGGGATTGTAGTTTGGTGGTAGCCATCATTCACAGAATGTTCAGCACTTTTCAAAATTGGTTGTTCCAAGTGGTTAAGCCTTGACAGAATGGTGTGACATCAGCACAGATATTTAAGCAGGGATGGAGATGCACATTTACTTATTTTGAGCTACAATCAGGTATAGGGAGCATTCCTTTTTGGGCTCAACTGAGGAAAAATTACTTTGGAGGCCACAACTCCTTGAATCTCATCTGTCTGGGGGAGATTCTGAGATTACTGGCACCACCAGTAGTTAAATTTTCAAGACCTGGTTTTTGTGGTAAGGAATTGTGAGCACATACATGATTAAGATAAGGATCCATGTAGTTTGAGGCTGAATTGGTTGATCTCAAGTGAGAAAGAGAAGAGGGGAGGGGAGTATATGAATATATATATATATAGAGAGAGAGAGAGAGAGAGAGAGAGAGAGAGCTCTTTAATCTGCTTGTTCTTTGAGATTCAATAGAGAAGGTTACAGCAAACTGGGACACCACAATCTGAAACTCAAATCTTATAGAATGGAAAGAAGTAAAATACCATTATGGCATCCATTGAAGTATAATATAATCCTTTTTCTGAAACCAAGCAGGACATATGGCAAGAGAGACCTACATTTTCCCAGAGTTTAGCCCTACGTCTTTCTAGCAGAACAGAAAAAAAATTATGTTTACCCATAACACCACATTGTTGCAGATGGTATGATTAGGCTTGAACTGGTTGATATCCCAAGGAGAGCTTCATTCCCCAAAGATCAAAAGAAAGACCAAAGAGGTGGCAGAGACCAAAACAAGTAACCATTCTTCCCAGCTTTTCCTTCCACAAACACAGCTAGATGTTCAAAGGGAAGGGGATACATTTGAGCAGATACCTGTTGGTGCCTGCCAACTCTGCTCTCCAGTGCATGCTCCCTCACTGCTTGCTCCTCCATGATTTCTGCTTGCTAAATCCTAATGTGTGTAGTAGTCTTGGGATAAGGATAATTTTCCTTTCCCATTAACATTTGCTGTTTCATGCTACCTGCATCCTGTTCTTCCTCCTCCTCCTTTATCAGCAGCTTTGCTTTCCTGTCTGGCATGATGCTTCTTTAAGATAAGAGGCTGGTAAGTTCCTATTCCCTTTTTTCGCTGTTCATCTTCTGCAGCACGATAGAGCATTCAGGGGTGGGGAAAGACTGATGACATGGTTAAGGTGCTACCGTAATCAACATAATGGCAAACCCATTCTTTTATCTGCAGTAAACATGGTTTCCAATGCTGTTCAAACTGTCAACAAACATGAGGCTTTGCAGCCCTACCATTAGGTCAAGTGAAGGGGCTGTCTTAGGCAGCAGATGTCGAGGAGTAGCAGCAAGATTTTGAAGGAGAGAGCTTTGTACTGTACAGGCCTCTAAGCTAGGCAGCAGTTGTTGTATGTAGTAGCTGCTCTTGAAAAAAGATTTAACTTCCATTCTAGCTGTTTTTTTCTGAATAGAAAGGGCAATGAGTGTGTCATATTGTTATTCATTGTGGGCATAGGTTGAGCATCACTTACCCGAAATGTTTGGGACCAGATCTGTTTGGAATTTCAGATTTTTTCCGGATTTTGGAATACTTGTAATTGCATATATAGAATCCTAGAGTTAGAAGAGACCTCGTGGGCCATTCAATCCAGCCTCTGTTTAAAAGCCTCCAAAGAAGGAGCCTCCACCACACCCTGTGCATAATGAGATATCTTGGAGATGGAACCCAAGTCTAAATAAAACATTCATTTATGTTTCATTTGCATATTATACACATAGCCTAAAGGAAATTTTATATAATATTTTAAACAATTTTCTCCATGAAAAAGTTTGTGTTTATTGTGTCACCAGAAAGCATAGGTGTCACTATCTCAGACATCCATGTGGAATTTTTTGGATTTTGGAATACTTAGAAATTCCAGTTAAGTGATGCCAAACCTGTAGTAAAATTTTCCAGGCCAGGTTATATCCATTAAATCAGTGTTTCTCAACCTGTGGATCCCCAGATGTGGCCTTCAACTCCCAGAAATCCTAGCAGCTGGTAAACTGACTGGGATTCCTGGGAGTTGTATGCCAAAACACCTGGGGACCCACAGGTTGAGAACCACTGCATTAAATAATCCCACAGTGTTTTTACTCTATGCATTTCAGATACTGCATTTTTCTTGCAGGAGTCTTGCAAGATATCTTCCTACATATACATTGACTTTGAAAACAGGCCTCACAGACTCCTACTAGGCCACCAGTGCTTAGTTGCTGTTCCTGTTCATTAAAGGAGAGTTGTTTTAAAATGAATGAAATATAAAATTTAATGCCCTTAACCAATTTTATACCAATAATTTCAGACACTAATATTCAGCATAATCTATTTTTTCTAACGAGATTAAATTGTAGAAAATTCAACTTGAGTCTGTATTGGGATAGAATGCCAACATACTCTGACTACAGCATACTGTGACTGGCAACCAACAATTATAAGAGTGCCTTAGAAAGTAACATTAACATTTCAGACCACACTATATTTTAAAATCTTATTTTAGAAGTAGTGCTAAATCATCAGTAGGCCAGTTCTAATAATATTTTCTGAAAAATCTTTGGCTAGAATATGAATAATTCTACCAGCTCTGTCTGCAGTAACTTGGTGGCTATCATCAGTCTCCATATTCACACAGCCAGTGCAACTTCAAAAATGTAGGCAAACATCTCGGTCCATGTCAGCATGCCCATTGCTGCAATTCCATTGAGCCTCGCAAGCACTAATGACTTGTAAGATTAATGTGTCTTAATTGCCCATTCAAGATCAAGCTACTAAAAAAATTGCATTAGATCAGGAATTATTCACAATCGCACCTCCACTTCTAGTTACTGTGGGGATTGTAACTAAATTCAGAGATTAAAAAGTAACTGGGGTGAGGGACCAGCAGATGACTTTATAATCCTTGCTAATTAAAAAAAATCAGATTGTTGCTTTGACAGTGTGATTCCTGATGCCAGATCATCGTTATCTGGTGACCTCTTCCTATGCATTTCCTGAATCCAACTGGCACAGAGCACAGTTGATGCACAACTTTTGTTTATCCTTGCTGAAGTTATTTAGTTACATGAAATCTTTCCTATACAGAATAGCAAAGATGTATTTCACCAATAGATTTGAGTTTTTCTTCACTTTGGGCAAAGGAAATAATGCTTTGAGCTCTTGATTTTTTTTCCTTTTTCTGCTCAGCTATGACTTCTTTCTTGGTCTTTGTTGTTCCACTGTGCCCCCTTTGGCACCCCTTCACAATGAGTCCTATTATGTTCTACATTGTACTGATCTTCCTAAGCTTGTTTCTCATTATCCATCTGTGAACTCATTCGGTGTTATAAATATTCTCCCATTCTTCTGTTTAGTATAAGATACACGATGATAGGAAGATGCAGAAAAATATGGAAAATGCATTATGTGAGTGTAAGAACATTTATCATAATGCAAAGTATTCTGTATTAAAATTAGCAAAGTGTGGTTTTTTTCTATGTTGGCTCTACAAAAGAGACAATTATATCAAATTGATCATCTGTACCTAAGGCATTTCCCTTACTGATAATGCAGGTAAAATACAAATAGATGAAATAAATATTTGAACTCATTTTGGACTGTGTCAGCAGTGAATTGCTCAGAAATTAATGTTTTGGTATGGTGATGGACAGAATTTCCAGACTCTTGCAGTAATTGTCCCTTAACCCGAGAAAGGGGTGCCCAGTCAGTGCCCTCTTCCAGTACATCAAGAGGAACGGTCTTTCCAAAAAAGAATGTCCTGATGAAGTTGATTCAGAAGTACCGTACTCACATGAGCCACATTACCAGCCTCATGCTGAAATACACATTGATATTAAGTATTCTTTCCCAGCATGAAGTAATTGTTTGACAATTGGACTACCATTCTACAGATCAGGGAGTTCAGTTTCCCAATCACCTACAAAAACCTACTGAGTGAACCTGGTCAAGTCACACACTCAGATCCAGAAAAACCCATGAAAGGGTAGTCTTAGGACTGCCATAGGTCAGAAACTACTTGAGGGCACATAACAACAATCTCCTTCTTTCTATCCTTTAGCTTTTTTCTATCCCTTACCATTGGTAATAGTATAGATACAAGATATTTATAGTGAAATTGCCATTATTATTTATAAAAACAATACTGTAATAACAAGCTACCAACATTGTTTGTTATGTGATTCTACTCATTTACTACCTATTTTTGGACAATATAACAACATATGAGAAAGTTCCGACTTAATATTTAACTCAAATAAGTTAATAATGCCCCATTAAACAGTAGCTTATTGACTGCAACTGTATAGTTATTCCATGGTCACTCATTCTGTTTTAGTCTGCTTAATTTTGGCAAGTCCACATCAGTACAATTGGTCTGATGCATCTACATTGCCTCTTCCATTCCTCCCTTTATTCAGTTTATAGCATACTCCTGCTGTATTGGATGGATCAGTCCAAATTTAGTCAAATATTCCCATTGTGTTTATGAAATGGTCCAGTGCTTGACTTATGAAAAACATAATACAGTGGAAAACCAGAGAATGAAGTAATGTACATTTGTAGAAAGAGGGTTATATTGTAAGTAGATGAGATGTTGTTTATGGTTATGCACTGTAGTAATTGCTTTCATTGTGAGCTCTGGTTATTTGGACTAGTGAAAAGAGAGTCTGATCTTCCTGGAATGACTCATGAATAAACTTTGGTGCCTGAAAAGTGAGCACCAGGCAAGAATTGTGATGTATGATACACGTGTACTATTTTCTAAGTTCAGATCTATGAATGTGAATACACATATATCATGAAATACATACACTGTTGATCTAATGATCTTGGATACCTGAAAGGATGAAGTGTTCAGGATGGAACATGGAAGCATATTGAATCTGTATCTTCCCTCAAAAATGTTTCAAGAGATTCCTGCCAGTTGATAGAGGTAGAACAGACTGTAAGTATTCAGGATACAAGCCAGGAGGTTTTGTAGATGCTCAGCTTGTTGAGCTTAGACTATCCTGCTGCAAATGATGAAGCAAATGCCTTAAATCTCAAGGTACACTTTCTGCTAATGTTTTGTGTTTGTGCCCTGGTGGTTCAAAAGCATTCCTTAAATTTCTCTCTCTGCACTAAGTTATTCTCCTCCATTTATTACAAAAAATAAGAATAATAAATAAGCCTTCAGAGGTGACATGTCTCAAATGAATTCTCTTTATTTTTCTTCTTGTTTCTTTTTGCAGAACTGAAGACTATATGAAGTTATCCTTAGACTCTTCCTAAGGCTTTTCCTTTTGGCATCTTTTAAAGGCTTGAGAAAAAACAAACCCCTAAATCTACCAGATACACATATTCAACTGAAATATAAGCAACCCCTCAAAGTATGGGACTTTCTCTGGCTGAACCTAATTTTCCCCAAAATATAATGCTGTAATGTCAAGACTGGAGAGAATCTATGTGTTTGGGTTTGGAGAACTGTATGGGCTGGAGAAAATAAGAAACTGCATTTTGAGGTGGCCTGTACTTTGATGTGAAAGAAAGATGCTTAAAGTTAAATGTGTTCAAGTTGTCGCGCTAGCTGCTCTACATCCACTGCATCCTCAAAGTAATAATTTCTCTTTAAACAGTATAGACTAAAGCTGACAATTACATCAGATGAATTCAGTGATTCCATCAAACTGTTTGGTCCCCCTCCATCAGTCTGGCTTGGACCAAAACATTTCTTGATAGGTTTCAAGATGATACGTTGCAATTTGAAGCATTGTAGGTGCTTCCTTCAGTTGTAGGTGGAGATTTGATGGTAAGATATAGACTCTAGTGTAGCCACTCCTCCATTGTAGCCATTTGATGAGAAGCGGTCCTCTATCTTACGTAGTGGGAAGTCCTAAGAACCAAGAAGGATTTACTGTACAGGTCTACCCAGAAGTAAGTCCCATTGAATCCAGTGGGGTTTACTATCAGATAAAGGGAACAGGAGTGCAATATTACTCTTAATTGTTTATTATTAGTTTTTTTCATGAAACCTATAGCTTCATTAATTAATGCCCAATAGCTAGTGAATTTGGCCCTTGCTTCTGATCCCAAGTAGGGAGTTTGAAAAAGTAAACTTTATGAGTACTTTCCCTCAAGTTGCGATTTGATATACATTTTCTATCTTCAAATATATTGTTGATATGGTATGCTTTTGTTTTAAAAAATATTGCTTCTCTTTCCACAATAGATCAATTAATGTACTGAATTGCTACAGTATACTGTAATGTACATAAAATCTGGTCTGCAGGGGTATATTAGTGACTTTACTGAAACAATAATTCCAGTAAAAAAAAAACCTGTTGATTGATAAGCCTTTTCTTCCATGAGTATTGAGGCCACTTTCCATTTGTAGAATTACCACTCTGAGTTGTAATTTTCCAATATCTTACCACATTTTGAAGACAGATTAAGTCTTGTCCAACACTTCATAATATATCAAAGTCAAGCTGCTTTTAAAAATGAAAAGTTAATTCTTTGGGAATACTTGAAATTATTTACTCAATCATCCTTTGGAGTGGCCAGGTTTGGGAAATGTTTTTCTGTAGCATAACGTTTTTTAAAGGGCTTATTTAAGAAACAGCAGGAAGCTTTAGTTTTTTTTTAAAAAAAGGAAAACATTTTTGTTCCTGTTTTCACTAGCATAATAAGAGTTTGCAATTGAATTTTGTTTATATAAGGACACTCTGCTTTGAGATACTTGTTAGCACGCACTCTGCCTCCAGTTAAATTTTCTGACTTATTCAGTGTTCCAGGCACCATTAACTATGCAAAGATTGCCTTATATACAATATAATGCTTCAATATACAGCAATACATATATTGTACCAGGAATATGACTAGTGGCTGTGAGCAAAGATATCTCCTCAATAATGGCAAAATGGCTGTCTTGGGTATTTTCTACCTTTTTTTCTAAATGTGAAAGTGACTCTTATACACAGGACTGTAATTTCTAGTGGCTTGAAATGTATATTGCCATTACTACTCAGTCCAATAAACCTTTAGTTTATATGAACTGGTTGTTGTGTTCCTTAATGTGGATGGCTCATACTCTTCTGTTCTCAGCTACTGTGTTTCAAAGATTACACCAAAAGAAAAAATACTTTATATTTCAGTGTGAGAAACAATGCCATATTTTTCTCGAACCAAGATTAGTAGTTGGAATAAAAAAATCAATCAGAGGAAGATTTTAAACAGAAAGTCAAACACTATGTGACACAATTTTTGTTCCTGAGTTATAAATGTTATTTCGTAATTGATTCTGTCACAAAAACATGGAAAAAGTTTATTCAACTGCAAAAAATCTTGCTACAGTTTTTCAATGAATATTTCAAAGTCTCAACCAATTCAAGATAGCTTGTAGCAGCCACAAAAACGAAGTTTCAGGAGTATACTACTTTCAAAGTAAGTATCGCACAATTAAACAGGAAATGCAAGTTTCAAACCAGGAACAGAAACATTTTCAAATTTTGTTACATAGTGTGTTTTCAGTTGGATTAGCCACAAACTAAACATGTTCAGATGCATCATTTTCACAACTCTTTTCACCCTTCCTTTCATGCTGTTGTGAGGTAGAGCTCAATTGGAGTGTAGCAGTATAAATGGGATCTGGACCAGTGGAAGGTTTGATGCTAGAACAAACAGACCCACTGAAGATCATAAGCATGCAGAAGCTAAGGAATAAGTTCACATCAAGTTGGACCAAGACAGCTAAAGACTATAAAACCAAGTTCAGACCATAGCAAGCAGGTGCGCATTGCAGGCTGCACCTAGATGGCAGTTTTGACAGCATTAAACTAGAAATAGGTTTTAGCTTTTTTGAACCAGTAAGGACATGCGCAGTGTAAATTGCAGGCTGATTCTGCACACTAAGTGCAGAATTTGAAATCACAGTTCGTTACAAAATAAAATGGTTACTGCTTCCTGCAACTAACATCTAAGGTATAACTAGATTATAATTACAATTTAAATGACATCTAAAAATACATTTTGCTTTCAAATACTATAAATACAGTGCCTCCTATTTCTGTTCAAGCTAATTTTACCCTCCTAAAAATGGACACTGAGGTAGGTGGAATAGTTTCAAGCACGTAGATATTCTTTTAGCATTGTAGTAGTGGTGCCTGATCAATTTTTCAGAGGATTCCTCCTACAGAACTACTGTTAATATTTGAAGGGCTGCCACTGCATGAGAATGACGAGCCACACAATCACTGCCTGACTAGGTCAGACGACAGCTATTTTTTGGCAAGACAAAGTGAGCCACATAATTAGTCCTACACATGGGAGTATTCCAAAATTCCAAAATTCACTTCTAGACTTGGATGCCCAGAAACTGTGGCCTGCTGAGGCTGGTATTCTGGTCATTTTGAAACTTACCTTACATACATGTAAATGGGCTGGCTTTGAAAACTTTTGAAACGTCATTTGTTTCAAAATACTGCTGTCAGACATTTTATTAAAGGGAATATGAGATTTCTACATGACAGTAATGCTGGAGCATTCTGTAATATTGTTACAGTTCCACAGGTACACTAGCCCAAACCATCCTACTACTTATACAAATCCCAAGGAGTATCTGCCTGTCAGAACTGGCAATGCTGGGCAAGATGGACCACTGGGTTGTTGTAGGTTTTTTCGGGCTATATGCCCATGGTCTAGAGCAGGGGTCCTCAAACTTTTTAAACGGGGGGCCGGATTACTGTCCCCCAGACCGTTGGAGGGCCAGACTATAGGTTTTTTTTTTTAAAAAAGATGACCAAATTCCTATGCACACTGCACATGTCCTATTTTGCTACTGTTATGAATTGTAATGTAAATATCTGATATGCATGATGTATTTTTATTGTTACAATCTGAACATAAAGCATCGTTTTAGCATTTCTGGAGATAAAATAGTTCCAATTAAAATGAGGAAAGCATTCTATTTTCTGTCTTTTTGAAAGTGGTTTTTGGAATACGTAAGCATGAGTCCCCTTTCAGGGGGAGAAGGGCAGGGTATAAATATAGGAAATAAATCTATATAAATAAAAATGTAATGTTCGTTTGTGGGATTAACAGAACTCAAAAACCACTGGACACCTTATTTATTTATTTATTTATTTATTTACTGCATTTGTAGACCGCCGTTCTCAGCCCTAGGGCGACTCACGGCGGTGTACAACATATAAAAACAATTTACAATAAAGGCAGTATCATAACAATAACAACATCACTATCAATAATACAATTACACTAAATCATTCGCGACGTCTCATCATAGAATCACAATCCAATCTCGTTATCCATATTCCGTTCCAATCATCATTGCCAATTGTTGTAGCACTTAGTCAAACGCCTTCTCAAACAACCACGTCTTTAGTCTCTTGCGGAATGTCATAAGGGAGGGCGCCTGTCTGATGTCTACAGGGAGGGTGTTCCACAGCCAGGGGGCCACCACCGAGAAGGCCCTATCCCTCGTCCCCGCCAGGCATGCCTGTGAGGCAGGCGGGATCGAGAGAAGGGCCTCCCCAGACGATCTCAAGGTCCTCGTAGGCCGAGATGCGGTCAGACAGGTATTTTGGGCCGGAACCGTTTAGGGCTTTGTAGGCCAACACCAGCACCTTGAATTGGGCCCGGTAGCAGATCGGCAGCCAGTGGAGCTGGAACAACAAGGGCGTTGTGTGCTCCCTGCGTCCCGCTCCTGTTAGTAACATGGCTGCCGCGCGCTGGACTAGCTGGAGCTTCCGGGCCGTCTTCAAGGGCAGCCCCACGTAGAGAGCGTTGCAGTAGTCAAGGCGGGATGTGACCAGAGCGTGTACTACCGTGGCCAAGTCAGACTTCCCGAGGTACGGGCGCAGCTGGCGCACGAGCCTGAGCTGTGCAAATGCTCCCCTGGTCACCACTGAAACCTGGGGATCCAGGCTCAACGATGAATCCAGGATCACACCCAAGCTGCGAACCTGCGCCTTCAAGGGGAGTGCGACCCCATCCAGCACAGGCTGTAACCCTATACCCTGTTCGGCCTTGCGACTGACCAGGAGTACCTCTGTCTTGTCTGGATTAAATTTCAATTTGTTCGCCCTCATCCAGACCATTACAGCGGCCAGGCACCGGTTCAGGACCTCGACAGCCTCCTTAGTAGCAGGTGGAAGGAGTGACAGAGTTGGACATCATCTGCGTACAGATGACACCGCACCCCGAAACTCCGGATGATCTCACCCAGCGGCTTCATGTAGATATTAAACAGCATGGGGGACAGTATAGAACCCTGTGGAACCCCACAAGTCAAAGGCTGTGGCGTTGAACAGGTGTCCCCCAATAACACCTTCTGGGTGCGGCCCTCCAGAAATGACCGGAGCCACTGCAGAACAGTGCCCCCGAGGCCCATTTCCGCAAGACGCCCCAGAAGGATACCGTGGTCGACGGTATCGAAGGCCGCTGAGAGGTCCAGGAGCACCAACAGGGACACACTCCCCCTGTCTAGCTCCCGGCGCAGATCATCCACTAAGGCGACCAAGACCGTCTCAGTTCCATGTCCTGGTCTGAAACCAGACTGTGCCGAATCCAGATAATCCGTGTCTCTCAAGAATACCTGGAGTTGTGAGGCCACCACGCTTTCCATGACTTTGCCCAAAAAGGGGAGATTGGAAACAGGCCGAAAGTTGTCAAATTTAGTGGGGTCCAGTGATGGTTTTTTCAACAGCGGTTTTATAATAGCTTGTTTTAAGCTCGCTGGAATCTTGCCTTCCCGAAGGGAGGCATTAACCACCACCGTTACCCACTCAGCCAATCCCCCTCTGGCCTCCTTCAGAAGCCAGGATGGGCAGGGGTCTAGGATGGACGTGGTGGGCCTCATTCCTCCAAGTATCTTGTCCACATCCTCGGGCTTCACAAATTGAAAAGAATCCATCAAAATAGGACAAGCAGGTGCTCGTGTCACATCCTCAGAGACTGCATTTAACATGGTGTCCAGACCAGAACGGATCAAAGCGACTTTGTCTGCAAAGAACTGAGCAAATGCTTCGCAGCGCGTGGCCGAATTGTCAGGGCTCCCGCCTGGGATGGCGGGAGTTAAAAGACCTCTGACAATCCGGAACAACTCCGCCGGACGGTTCCTTGCAGACGCAATAGTAGCCGCAAAGAAAGTTTTCTTTGCGGCTTTTATTGCCGTGGCATATGCCCTTAGAAAGGACACAAACCGTGTTCGATTTGACTCGCTCGGATCCGAACGCCACACGCTCTCTAGTTCCCTCTTCCTTCGCTTCATCACTGCCAGCTCCTCAGTAAACCAAGGAGCTGGTTTAGCTCGGCTACTTGAGAGGGGACGTTCCGGAGCGATCGTGTCAATTGCCCTGGCCATCTCTCCATTCCAGAGAGCGACCAAGGCCTTGACAGGGTCACCTACCGAGGTGGCGGGAAAATCCCCAAGAGCCGTCAGGAATCCATTCGGATCCATAAGCCTCCTGGGGCGGACCAACTTAATGGGTCCTCCACCTTTGCAGAGGTTGGGGGGCGCAGTGAGCCTAAATCTGACCAGGAAGTGGTCAGTCCATGGCAACGGAGAGATGGTCAACTCCTCCACACCGCCACCTTGCTCCCATCCCTGGCAGAAAACCAAGTCCAATGTATGTCCAGCACAGTGGGTGGGGCCAGATATTTGTTGGGACAGCCCCATGGTTGCCATGGCAGACATGAAGTCCTGAGCTGCTCCTGTGAGGGTCGCCTCGGCATGGATATTGAAGTCTCCCAGCACGAGAAGCCGTTGAGACTCCAACGCCAGGCTCGAGACTACCCCCGCTAGCTCAGGTAGGGAGACTGTAGTGCAGCGAGGTGGACGGTACACTAACAGAATCCCTATTCTGTCCCGGTCACCCACCCTCAGGTGGACGCATTCAAAATTTGTGGTCTGCGGGATGGGACTCCTGGTCAGATGGATGGAATCTCTATAGACCACTGCGACCCGCCTCCCCGCCCTCCGGATCTTGGTTGGTGCTGCACGGAGAAGCCTGGAGGACAAAGCTGGGTTAGATTCAC